CTTCCTTCCTTCCTTCCTTCCTTCCTTCCTTCCTTCCTTCCTTCCTTCCTCCCTTCCTTCCTTCCTCCCTTCTTCCCCCCTCCCTCCCTCCTCTACTTTCTTTCTTTCTTCCTTCCTTCTTTCTTTCTTTCTTTTCTGAGGTACTAGAGTTTGACTTCAGGGCCTCATGCTTGCTAGGCAGATGTAGTACCATTTGAGCCATGGTTCCATCAATTTTTGCTCTGGTTGGTTTTGAACTAGGATCTTGCATTTTGAAGGTTAGCCTAGACCAAAAACCCCCTATTTATGCACCGTACAGTGGCTGGAATGACAGATATACACTACCACACCTACATTTGTTTCTGTTAAGATTACAACCTCATGTTTGTCCAGGCTGGCTTCAAACCACAATCAGCCTAGCCTTAGCCTCCAAGTAGCTAGGATTACAAGTTTGAGCCACTGGACTTTCTTCACAGCTTGATTTCTAGGTTTCATATTTGTAATCTTTGGTAAAGTTAATGTTAGAGGTGGGAAAGTACAAAAATGAGCCAGGAACATATGCTACAAAGCAAAAAAGTGGTCAAAGAACATTGGGGCATATCCAAAGTGGAAGGGTCTTTCACTAGCCAAGTAGATAATTTGTGCCTCAAAGCAGATGGACATTACTATTTCTGGGACAAACCACTGCCACGGAGCAGTAGAAGGGCACAAGACTTTTGTGTGAAAATCCAAGCTTGTTACATACCCTTCAATTCTGTAAAATATGTGCCCTGTGTTGCTCAAAAACATGAAAATCATGAAAGACGAAAGACAAGATTTCCAGATCAAAGGAAACTAAAGAGAAAATACAGCTCAATGTAGCACATGATGGTAGACCAGAAAATACTTTCAATATGTCCAGAAAGAACATTATTAAGTTAACTAATGGAATTTGAAGATATGTACACTTAACAAATAAAATGGCATCAATATCAATTTTCCTATTTTGATAATTATACTATAGTTTTGCAGAAAATGTCCTACTAATTAAGGAAATATGCATTAAAATGTTTGATAAGGAACATGATGTCAAAAACATTAGAAAATAATAACATGTACACACATATTGAAAACAACATATGGAAATAAATGGAGATGAAATGAAAATGTGAATCGCTTATGTTGGGGAAACCTAGATTGATTCTTCCTTTAGCTTTTCCCTATGTGTGAAATTCCAATTGGTCCTCCATGTCAGTATTTTTTGTATCTGAAGATTCAACCAAGAGCTGATTGAAAATAGTTTTAAGAATTGAATCTGCACTGAATGCGCGTAGACCTTTTTTCCTTGTTATTATCATTCCCTAAGGATTTATGAGCCATTTGTGTTGTACTAGATAGGCCAAATAATCCAGAGA